AGCCCGGTGAAGCGCAAGGAGGAGGAGAAGGAGACATTTCGCGTTTTATGAATTAACCCCACGGCGGCATATGCAGAAGCTTTGTGTTGGTTTTGCACCCAAAAAGTTGGGGATGTTTTATGAATCAAGAGTCTAGATTGTATGTACTTTCTTTTCATGCACAAAACCTCCTGGAGTTCCAAGGATGGGTTTACCCTTACCTGAGTGGACGGATTGCATCCTCCAGTCCTTATCTCCACTCCAGACATTAATATAATTATGATAGGAATGCGGAATACAGAACAATAGCACGGTCATGTTATGCATGATCCTTTTTTTGTTTCGTCCCTTGAACATCCCTTTGACATCCTTTGAATCAGGAGAAGGCCAAGGAAGAGGCGCGCAAGAGCAGGAGTCCCAGCGCCAAGGTGGAGGATGCCAAGAAGGATGACTCCTCCGATTCCGAAAAGGCTAAGAGGCAAAGGACTGAAGGAGAGGAGCCCAAGGAGCCCACAGAGCCGAGGAAGGAGGAGGAGAAGCCCGGAAATCAGGCAGAGAAGCGTATGGAGGAGCTGAACGAACCGGCAGCTCGGCGCGAGTCGAGTCGTTGGGACACCGGTGGAAGTGCCAACGACTCTGAAAGAAGTCCGCTTCATAGATGTCGATACCTAACTGTCAAGGTGTGCTCGACAAGACCCAGACAGCCTATTTGGTTAAGGGACTTCGTACAAAACCACTACAGGCTAAACCCTTAGCAAAGGATCTATGGACAGCCAAGTTTAGCTTTGGCCAGAACATTGAATGAGCATTTATTTAGCATTTTTGCTCAGCCTTTTGGACGAGAACAAACATTCCAGATTTTCAATGAACGAACGAAGCTGTTTGCATGGAGGCGGGATCCTTGCTGAAAGCGGTCGTTGCACTGTAGCCAACGCAAACATTTCGTTGTGACAGTGCCCGAAGATGTTCAGAGCTATAAAGCTATATTATAAATTAAGTTATATAAATGATTGGCATTGGCCAGTTTGTTGGCAACGTCTGCAGTAAGTGGCTGGTAGAATCTCATGAAATACTGGATAGGCTTTGGATCATTTGATGCTGTGTGTTGGCCCCTTGCGTGAGGTCGACAAGATTGCGGCGCCCGAAAAGACACTCATCTGCTGAAATGGAGGTTGTAAAAGCTTGTTGATGTAGCGCGCGGAACTACCACGAGCATTATATATTCACCGTATATGTATAATTCAAAAAGAATTGTCAAAACCTTGACACATTCATACCCTGATCTTTGATCTTCCAACATATGCAAATTGTTGGCCTATTGGATCATTTGATAGATGAACATGGCTTCAATTTGGTGCCGAGTTGGAAGGTCCCAGGGCGGAGTTGGAAGGTTTTAGGCCGAGTTGGAAGGTCCCAGGTGATTGAACCTGGCAACACATTCGCTCGTAAACACCCCACCCCACCCGGCGGCCTGGTCAGCATTCGCCGAGGAAGGCAGACACCGATGCCACCAAGAAGTCAGCGATCGTGAACCCGTTCCACGCGCGGCTCATCGCGAAGCACCAGCAGGAGGCGATCGAGAAGGCGAAGCAGGAGGTGGAAGCGAAAGCCAAGGCTCAAGAGGAGGGATTGAAAGGGCCAGTGGTCGACTTGGCGGAGTTGGCACAAAAACTAGTAACTAGACCAGGATTTGTGAACCGTTATGTGCATTGTACATAATGGAGGGTACTATACATAAATCTATTGAATTTAGACATTGCCTGGTCACATGCATTCGGAGCAGCGTGATCGAGCTTGATGAATGTGTGCCGAGCATTCCTTTCTTTTCCACTGCTCAGCTCCTTTTCAGGAGGCTGAAGCCAAGGCCGAAGCCGAAGCCGCCGCCCTGGCCACCTCCGCTCCCACTGCCCAACCGGTGCCGCCCGCGGCCGCGCTGGCGTCGCCGGACCAGACAGCCACGGCGCTCCGGAACATCTTCACCGGCGCCGGAGCCGCCGGCGTTCCGGGGGCGGCCGTCCCGGGTGCGGCCGTCCCGGGTGCCGTGGGCGTGGCGGTGCCAGAAGCGAAGGCTGAGGCGAAAGCTCCAGGACGCCCGGGCGACGGGAGGCTGAGGACACTCCCCTAATTGGCATTGATGGAACCAGGCGAAGGGGCGATGAAGTCCATGTCCATGTTCCCCAGGATTCCAACAATTGATTTACTATGGGCCATGGGTTTTACCGAGCAACCTTTGTTTTACAAAGGATTTGAGGCTAGAAGACCCAGTCAACCTTTCTTTCAACGGCTTTCGAAGCCTATATGGTGCTAGTAGGAAAGAACATAAAAATTATTAGTGGGCATGCAAAGTGGATCCAGTTCTCCTTGGAACCAGAAGCTGAAGCAGATCTAGAGAGGGAGGCTTTGAGGGAGTATCCATGTTTCAAGATTTATTTGTTCGGCGTTAAGTTATATAATGTTATATAGTATTATATAGATACAGGTGGGCCCACTGTTTGGGTTTGCTGGGCTTTTGAAATATAACTGCAATTTATTTCATCCATCCATCCATCCATCCATCCATCCATCCATCCATCCATCCAT